AGTATCGGTATCGTATCGGTTTGAAAAAATTGGTATCGTTGCATCCCTACTTTTATCATTTAAATGTATCTTTTCACCCCGATCTGCTGGCCAACATCAGGGTTTTAGATGTGAGTTTGGGTCTGAAAGTGCATACTAACTAATAAGGAATCCGGGTTAGCCTACAGCTAAGTTGTTAGGATGTCTCTGTCAAATCTATGTAAAACAGTTGGAATCTCTAGCAGGATATATATCAGTGTTTTGAGATATTTTGAGTATTTTGAGAGCCTAATGTCAGTTTTGAAAGACAAATATTGTTCTTTAAATAGTGCGTTCCCTCATAAAGGTTATGTGGTTGCACTGTATACCACTCACATCACTTCAGTGTTTGATGTTAAAGCTTTCTTCCAAGATAAACTAGTTCCCCGTGTCATGTGCACTAATCCACCTCCAAATCATCTCAAACGTCAGCTTTTGAAGTATTTCCTCGTTAGCTTCAACTAATCGTCACGTTATCATCGCTGTTGCTATAGATGAAGTATTTTTGTTACAAAGCAAACAAGGACGCTTCATCAATAACGGAGATCACATTGGATGTGTCACAGGTTTATTGGATATTGTTTGAACTTCTAACTAACTGCCCCCCCCTCCAAAAAAAAGTGATTAACCTAAAATTTGAAAACTATTTAATATTGTGTTGTCTTATTCTTACAGTAGGCCTTTGACTTTCGGTGTCATTTATTCCCAGATAATAGGAAGGGACTAAAGTTTTCCACAATTCCTCCATTCTCTAATGCGTCCTGGTGGCTTCTTACATTTCTGATCTTTTAGAACCAAACGCTCCCTCTCGCAGCCTGAGATCTTCTAATCAAAGGCTGTTGGTAGTCCCACGAACTCGTTTTAAGACCAGAGGAGATAGATCTTTTAGAGCGGTGGCCCCCAGGCTGTGGAATTACGTTGCCTTGATTGTATTTATTCTTTTAAAAAGTAGCTTAAGATTTATCTATTTATTTAGATTGGCTTTTAATTAGATTTGTGCTGTGTTTTATTATTAATGTATTTTATGTATTTCTGTTTTATATTACTGTGAAGCACTTTGTGGTTTTTATCCTGTGAAAAGTGCTGTATAAATAAATTGATTTGATTTTGATTTGATTCTGTATAAGAATAAAATAATACTTTTATGAGAAAATACCAAACAAAAGTAAAACTTTCACTTTTCATTCTTCCGGATTAAATAAACGGGTCAAAATGACGTTTGTGAGTTCCCCTCTTCAAGGCAATTTACAAATGTCGTGCTGTTTCCTAAACGCAGGGGCAGTCAGTTTGTTTCAGTATCAAATACAGAAATAAGTAACTAAAAAATAGGACATGCTTTTCTTTTCTGCGCAGTTCATGGAAGTTGTGTGTCGCAAACATTAGTAAGTCAGTTTGTAAGATTAAATATACTTTTCCTCATATTTTGTGTGTGAGAAAGAAACTCATATTGCAACTGCGTCTGCTCACCACGCTCTCTTTGTAAATACTGACATTTTCAAACCCAGTTTGCTCTGGTGCAACACCTTATTGAATCAGACCTGAGGAAGGTACTCTTTCTTCTTCTTTTGGCTG